CCGCATGGTGCTCCCCACGTCCACATATGCCCCAGAAGGGCTACGACCAGCCCTTTGCCTGTCACCTGGGAGGCCTGGGATGAGGACCAGGGCTTAATGAGTCTCAGGGGCACACACAGTGACTGCAGGCTGGGCACTGAGGGCAGGAGGGTCCTGGGGCCTCAGAGCCGCCTCTGTCTGCCGGGGCAGCCCAGGCCAGCGGTGACCACGGGGCGGAGCTGTGCCGGCTGCATCTGAGTGTCTGGGGGTGGTCCCTGGGCGGGGAGAGGGTAGCAGAGCCCAAGGCCACACCTGCTGCGTCCCTCCCCTCCCGACCCAGGCTGGTGGCTCCGGGGAGGTTTAAACACTGGCCTTGGCGGCTGAGGGAGGAGGAGGAGGATGAGGCAGGGGCTGCTGGTGCTGGTGCTGGTGCTGGCTGCAGGCTCCCAGGTGCAGGACTGGTACCCCAGGGAGTCCCACACCCTCAACTGGAACAAGGTGAGCCATGCGCCGCTGGTCCCTGAGCCGGGCACCGGCCCTGGAGCTGGAGAAGGCTCCTGCACAGTCTCCCGGCAGTCGCCCAGGAGCAGGGCTACCAGGAGTTCCAGGCACAGGCGATGCCCACCTGGCTTCTCCCACTGCAGCCTCCAGCACAGGGGCCCTGCAAGCTGCAGGGCAGAGGCAGGGAGCCTCGAGGGGTTCAGGGGAGTCGGGGGTTCAGGAGGGTCAGGGTGGAGGGGCCCAGAGAGCTGTGGTCGAGAAGGTTGGAAGACGCCGAGAGGGCAGAGTGGGTGTGGAGCAAGTGGAGCATGTTCTGTAGCGGGAGGGCCCGGGCACCTGCAGAGTGAGCCATGGGAGCAGCACTCATTGGCACGGTGGTGCCCAGGGCGCTGGGGTTGGCAGCAGGCAGAGTTGGGGGCCGAGGGCCGGCGGGAAGGGAAGTGGCCGAGCAGTATCCAGCCCCTAGGAGGCCACGTGGAAAGGAGCCAGGGCCTCTGAGGTAGGGAGGCCTTCCACCTGCTGGTGCCACGGCCCAGCCTGGTGCTGCCTGGGGTGCCTGACCTTCCGGGCACCTGGTTCTCTGCGGCCCAGCTCCAGTGGCCAGGGCTAGAGTGGCCGGGACCGAGGCGGCACCCGGGTGGGGCTGGAGCTCCGGTTCACAGAAGGGTCACTTGTCTCCTGGGTTCTCTAGCTGGGAACCTCGGGGGTGGGGACAGCCCCTGGGTGGCAGCTCTCGTCCCCGCCCACACACCTGCTGCGCAGTTTTCAGGATTCTGGTACATTCTGGCCACGGCCACTGACGCCCAGGGATTCTTGCCGGCCAGGGACAAGAGGAAGCTGGGGGCGTCCGTGATAAAGGTGAACAAAGTAGGCCAGCTCCGGGTGCTCCTTGCCTTCAGCCGGTGAGTGGGCAGCGCCCCCCAGGCAAGGGTGTCCCCTTCCAGGAGGAGGGAGCTGCCTGGGGGCTGGAAAGGAGTCTGGGAGGAGCCTGTCTGTCTGGAAGTTCCGCAAGGACCGTCCCCCAACTTCCTCCCTCTGAACTCCGAGGAAGCGGCCTGCAGCCCCTGGGGCCCCCACACGGGTGGGAGTTGGGAGTGTCTCCCGTGCTGTGGGACAGGCCCCGGTCCGAATTGGAAAATCCTCACACCACAGAGCCTCAAATTGACAAGAGTTGGATAGTGAAGCAAAAAACTGGGGACCTGGTGCCCCAACCTTCCCAGGTCCCATGGGAGCAGGGGCAGGACCGAGATGTGTCGGTGGGACTCGGTGGCCGGCCGGGGGAAGGAGGGGTTCCCTGGTCTGCAGCCTGAGCCCCTGCCTTGCCCCAGGTTGAAGGGGTGCCAGTCCCAGGAGGTGATCCTGAGGAAAGACGGGAAGAAGCCGGTGTTCAGGAACACCTGTGCGTACGCGGTGGGCCTGAGGGAAGGACGGGAGGGCGGTGTGCTTGGGCTCTGAGCCCCGGAGGAGCTGCGTGGGACGCCTCTGTTCCCTCGGTGCCTTGAGCAGGCCTGGCCCGGGAGGGGAGGCCCCAGGAGGGCACTCAGTCCTTTCTGGACACTGCACCCGGCTGGGGGCTCCGAGGCCTCGGACACCAGGGGTCAGGGCTCTGGGTGGGCACAGCCACGCCATCCAGGAACCAGTGGGCATCTCTGGGCATCTCTTTCAGTGAAAGGGGTGAAGGCCTTCCACGTGCTGTCCACTGACTACAGCTACGGCCTGGTCTACCTCCGCCTGGGGCGCGCAGCCCAAAACTACAAGAACCTGCTGCTTTTCCGTGAGCGGGCACAGTGGATGGCAAAGGATGGTGGAGGGAGTGCAGAGAGAGGCATAGAGGGGTGCTGGGCACACGGGGCTGGGCAGGACCCGGGGGTGAGGTGGGCAGAGAGAGTGGGGGTTGGGGCGGTGGTCAGGGCAGGGGCAGTGGAAGCCGAGACCACAGCAGGCAGGTCCTGGAGGTCGCTGAAGCAAGGATGGGGGACGTCAGGAAGAGGCTACAGAGCAGGGTGGGCCATCCAGGTGGCGTGGAGGCCACCAGGATGGTGGCAGGTGCAGGTGCAACGTTCTGCGTGAGGGATGCAGTGGGGATGAGGAGGTACCAGAGGGGTCCCAGGTAGGAGTCTGCCCGGGATGGAGGGGTGTGGAAGTGACCCGGTGTGGGTTAAGGGCCACAAACCCAATTCTAGGCACCAACCACTTGGGGTACAGGGAAAGGAGTGGCCCTCCGGTTGGAAGGGGTCGAGGGGAGGTGGGGTCCTGGGGTCTCAGTCGAGGCGGGGCACGCTCAGGGTGCAGCAAGCCGGGCCATAGCTGGGGGATGGCTGGAGGGTATTCTGCAAGCAGAGAGGGCTCCCCAGGCAACAGCGTGGTGACCCTGGATTCCCGAGCCTAGCTGCTTCGTAAGTGGGGAAGGACCCAGCAGCCGCTGTCCTCCTGTGGCCGATCCCTGCTTCACACCTAAGCTCTGAGGACATTTCAGCAGCTCCCAGGGTGGGGATGGGGGCCAGGGTGCAGATGCTAAAATGGCCAGAGCTGGAGCCTCTGATGTGATCCTGATCTCAACCTCAGATAGACAGAACGTTTCGAGCTTCCAGAGTCTGAAGGAATTCATGGA